GTCCCTAAGCCTAATAATTACTAATTAATGCTAGGTCCCGGCTTTAGTGCTTTACATTATTGTTATCGTAATATATATTTCATTTTGTTTAATAAGTGTAAATCACGGCTTATGATGCATCTTTATCTTGATAAAACATATCAAGTATATCACGGCTGGGGGGGGGGGGGCGGTGTTACTACAACTTTAATACCCCCACTGGCTACGCACCTACGTGCATTCAAAAGCACTCTAAATGATATACATACAGCTAATAGGGACATAGTCAATTGAATAAAAAATCTGGACATTAATTTATAATCTATAGTTTCAAATATATTCCAGGTATAATAGTCACCGTCAGTCACCGTAAGCTCATTTTTATTTTTATATTTATTTTTATTTCATTTATATTATGTTATTTTATATCAGTCAGTAAATATTTACATGTTTAAATTTGTTGCTCTACTCTGTCATATGAAATATATATATAACGCATAATATACGTGTCTACATGTTTCTGCATAATGTACACAGAGTTCGGGTCTACGGTGGGTTGACCCAGGTTAGGTTAGCAATCCAATCGTATTCGGCGGTTTTGAATTTCAGAGGGAACAGCGCTCGATGTATAAAACGCACATATACGTTCTAACGACTGAAATGTGTCATAATAACGTGTAAACACAAACACACACGCACGCACGCGTATGTATATAATATAATAGTGTAATAATTTTTTTGATTGTCGATAGAAACAGTAAATACATTATCAAAGAATTTTAAGAAAAATAACAATATTGATACTTAGTGAGCTTATAATATACATTAACTAAATACTAAAAAAAATACAATAAAAATTATACTATACCTAATGTATAATAAATAAAAATTAGAATTTATTTCAATTCGACTAAATAAGTTATAATGATAAAAATTAACAAAAAAAAAGTAAAATATAAAATTAATATTATCAAATATGTATATAGGATGACATTGTACGGTGTACATGCACACAAACCGTATAGGTATGTATGCTATCCGGACAGGAAACCAAACACCAACCATTCTAACCCCTACCCGCCGATCACTGTGCGTACATTTAAATAAAACTTTTCGACTTATTGGTTTCGTGTTGCTACAGTATTGCACTATCGGTATTTAGTTATTTGTAATTATTTTTTAAACCGCGGAGGAGTAGTCAAACCCAGAACCTGTATTTACGTAAAAAGTGCAACGAACTAGTATTTAAAAAAAAACAAATATTAAATTATTGGTTGCCACTGATAAACATTAAATCTTATCTTTGTATTAAACAAATACCCATGGATATGTATATTATATTATAATTGTATATCTCTGAACAAATATGTATCGAGTACGTATATATATATATATATATATATGTATGTATATATAATCATACGGTAAGACTCCAGCTTATCGTACATGGTGTATGTTCGTTTAATGTAGATTACTCGAAATTAAGTATTGTTTTTTTGCACCACAATAGTAGTAAAAAAAATATTTGTTCCAGAATAAATAATACATAGAAGTGACATAGATAAGAACTTCTAAATTTTAACCTAATATGTATTTATTTATCAAGCAGAAAAGAAGTTTACCAAGAAGTTTACTTTTAAATCGATTCTACTAACGAGGTGACAACTGAATAAACAATAATATTTCGTCATGATTCAAATGAATAACGTAATGCCGTTAAATAATTTGTTTAAAGTTAATAGAATATGTTATCATAGTCAAAGGTATTTAAAAATTATATCCTTAATGCTACAAAGAATTACTTACTTACTCGAATATTATTTAAGTTATAGCGAAAACAAAATCCAAGTATATTAATATATTATATATGCACTTACATATTAATATACTTGGATTTTGTCTCCACTAAAATTTAAATATTTTTATGAGATTTTTCGATTAGTATTAAATTCAATCGTATAATTGTATTTACGAATATGGCAAATGTAATTGGTTATTATAAGCATAATATTTTAACGTGTAACAACAAATACGATACACCTGTGGGCACCTACTTAAAATATATATTTTATGAATTTAACGAGGCATAAATAATAACATTAAATATTGAAGACAATTTTTTTGGAATTCAGATCTAAATACTAATATAAATATAATACATAATAAATAAAAATCCTTATAAGAAATGTGATTACTAAAAAAAAAGTACTACATTAATTCTGTACAATTTTCACAAATTATATGTAACAATAGTTGTAAATGATAACTTTTGCAACATATAGGGTCGGACGTTTATGCACTGAAAATGACTGTAATATATATGTATATGGTAAATGCTAATTTACAGTTTAATTATTATACTGTAATAAAATGGTGTTTTAATTTGTTTAAACTTGGATCTAAAAATATTTTGGAAAAACGCTATTATACGGTTCGATGATTTATCATTTATTTGCCCAAATATCTTAAGTTTTTTTTTTATAAAGTTCGAAAATGTACTAAAATATGAATTTATATTCATAAAATCCCTAAAATATAAGACCATAGAATATGCAAAAATATGCAAAATAAAAATATTATTGTTTGATTCAGTAGAACATGAATCATATTTGTATACCGGTCCAAATAAAATTAGATTAATAGAAAAAAATGTTCTATTTCATAAGCATCCAAACCCTAGTTCCAAGTAAGAATATTAAAAAAGATGCTGCAACACGATTACGCAATTTTTCCTTTTTAGACCCGACTAATTACACTACGATTGCGCAAAAAATTTGCAACACGATTGCGCTCCGATCCCTTTTTACCTGATAAAATCACAACACCATTGCGCACCAAATAATAATATGTGTATATACTATTACTATGTATAATAATTTATGTATAACATAAAATAATGTATACAATACATACTTTCTACATATAATTTTCATATACTTGCACTCAAACTTATTATCTATTAATAAACAATTTTTCTTCCCAAATGTTACGGGCTTAGGACTGTCAATAAATTATCATCGTTGGCTTAGTTAAAAATTGTTTTTTTTTTCTAAATTACATTTATGCTAAATGTATATACTGACATGGTCAATAGTCGACAATTTTTTTTTATTAAAAATTGTTTTTTTTTCTTAAATGATAGTCATTAGTCGATATTATTATTATAACTATCATTAGCTCAATCAACTTTTAATTTCGATTTGAAAAAGTGCATTTTGTGAATTAATAGTTTAAGTGTATATATATGCAAATAATAGAAAGTATGTATTGTATACATTATTTTATATTGTACATAAATTATTATACATAGTATATACCCACATATAATTTGGTGTGCAATTGTGTTGTGATTTTATCAGTTAAAAAGGGATCGGGGCGCAATCGTATTACAATTTTTTTGCGCAATCGTGGTGTAATTAGTCGGGTCAAAAAAGGAAAAATTACGCAATCGTGTTGCACCGTATAAAAGTAGTATATCTAAGAAACATATGTGCTTTTGCAAAAAAAACAAAAATCGTATTTCAGTTTCTGTTGTTCTTGTTTAGGATGATATATCATAAAAGCTTGTAATAACGATTAGGAAATAAAAATGGAATTTATTTTGGGCTTATTAAATATTAAAAATACTTATCATATGAATTTCAACAATTAATATTGAAGTAAGAATATATTAGTTTTGATTATTCTTAAAATCAAATGACCTAATATAGATTTTTCACGTTGCAAGTGTCTATACATGGATACTTAAACCTCCCAAAAATAGTTTGTAAACGCAATAACCTGAAAGTTGTAGTATTTTTATGTATTTATATACTTATATATCTATTTCACAGATTGAAGATTTGTTTAACAAGTAATATTTTTATAAAAATATATACTTTTTTGATAGTCTGATTGCACTCTTCCATAATTAAAAAACTCGAAATTTATAGTATATCGTCTTCAAGTTATGGTTCATTTTTCAATCTTAACAAACATTTGAATGAAACGCTAAAATTTATGACAAAATGTATTTAAATCGATTTTGATCATTTTATTGAAATTAATTAAAAAAACAATACTTCCAATACATACCTATTTTCAATTAATAATTTTTCACGTAAGTATATTTGGCAATAATTAAGGTGAGAATACTTGTAATAATTTGAATGACTATTAAATTAAATGTTATACTGACTAATGATCAATTTTCTATATTATTATTATATTTAAAGTATAAACGCATTTAAAGCGAAATCACACAATGATATTATTAAAAGAAAAGTTGAACTTTAGACATAACAGAGCTTGGAATTTGAAATATGAGAAGCTGTTTTATATAGATGAGTTAAAACGGCAGAGATTGCTGTACTATAAGTCGCGTTTAGAATAACATTAGAATAACGTACATGCGAGTAAAGGAATGAAAAAAACACTCTATTGATTAACGTACACATGGTTTATTGTTAATTTATGGTGACCGAACGAGAAAGTATTCGAATCGACGGATTCTACCAAATGCTTAAACGCGCGGTGTACACGTGCGCAGAGACTTTAACGCCGTCTCGTATCTACGCGCGTAAGAGGTGTTAACTAATATATTATAACAATGCGTAAACAGCCGTAATAATAATAATTTCTAGTAGTTTATTTGGCGGCCGATTAAAATAGAACTTAAAAATTGTATTATGCATTGCAATAGTCTCACGCCGATCGGAAAGCACACGACGTGACTCGTTTTGTCCCGACTCAATGTGTATTCTTACAAAACAGTGATAAGACGTGTGTACAGCGTGTTCCGGTCGGGCTTATATGGGTTGATTACATTAACATCCGGCAGGGAAGAAGAGCGAAAACGCAAATGACGGACAAAGAAAATATTTTATATTGGGTACCTATCTACTGTTTGTACCTATCATCATAGGATACGTGTATCACAACGAAATCGACGCTGTGATGATTTCGAAGCACCGAGCATAAACGCTTATAAAACACGAATATCAACACGAACGGTGCTGGTGTGTACAGTAAAAGGTACTCACTTCTTGTAATACTTCCAGTGCTCCGGCCATGTGAACGTGTTGAATGCGGAAAAACGAAAACCAACGAACCGCGGTGCGGGGAACAAGTGAATCCGATTTTTCCGCGATCCGCGAGAACTGCTCTCAAGACATGTTCTACTTCCAGTAACTACAACGGGCGAACACGTCCGTTAAAACGATCCTGATTATTGGAGTACCGTAGCGTGAGCAGCGCTCGATCCACGATTGGTGACGGCTGTGGTGTAAAGAGAGGGTGGGGGGACAACGGTTGGAAACCTCGACCGAGTGACTTTTTTTTTATAAAAAAAAAAAAAATTAATAACGATAAAACGAAGCTACGGGTAGAATGCGTCTAGTGTCGGGCGCGAGTGCGTTACGACGTGCATTTGGACGCGTAAAACCTTCGTTTGAAAAAATCACGTCGGCGGTTCGTGGCCCGTGAGCAGGAATCGAGAAAACGGACGAGAACGACAACGGCAGTAACAATAGCGGTAACAGCGATTGCGACGTGCGCGTGACAGCGCAGAGAAACGGCGATGTGGTCTTTCTCTCCCTGGTGCGAGCGGCCGACCGTTCTCCTAGCCAAGCACGCGGTTGACACGCCGGGCGCGATGTACCTACTGCCATGGAGCCACACCACCGCACCTGTGTACGACGCGTGTGCGCGCGCGCGCGTGCTGGCTCACTCGCATGCGTCCGCCCACCCTCGTGTTCCATCGCGCGCGCGCGCAGCGCGTGTCGAAAACCGTACGAGCGCATTCGCCTCCGCCGGCACACGTCTTTGCCTGGTTCGCCGCCACCGCCAACACGGTAATATGATCAGCGATCGCGAAAATCAGACCTGCGGGAAACGGGCATTATTTTCTAAGGATTTTTACCTACCGCCCGAACGCACCGAAAAGTTTGTTTTACGAAATTTATATGGATCACAATTAGACCGCGGATTATATATGCAGTGAAAATACTCTATTATATGCATGCAAATACGCGTCATAAAATACAGAAATATGCATAGACTATGTTAAAATATGCACTATAAATTAAATTTAAAAAAAAAATACGGTGATGATGATGATGAAATTTGTTATAATTAATTATTATATGAGATTTACGTATATTTATTTAGAACTATAGTTCTCGTAGCAGTATATTACTAAATGTTGCTCTAAGTGGTCCATTGTAAAACTATGGCGCTTGTCGTCCAAAATAAGTTTAAATGCAGAAAATGATCGTTCAACATCACAGGACAGTGTTTAAACCATGTTACTCGTTATTTTAGTACAATTACAGTACTTGTGCCATTAATATAAGTGTCGATCATACTTAGGGAATTATAGCCAGGATTTTTGTTCAGTAACCGAGTAATCTTTGTTCTGATTTTTTCTGAAAATACGTCAGGCAGTTCAGACGCTGTTGTCAATAATTCCTTTATAACCTATTAATGAATCGTGTAGTAGCAAATTTTTTGATTCTAAACTTGTAATTAGTTCTGGTATTTTAGAAAAATGTGTATAAATCAAATTTAAATCGTGTTGTATCGACTGAGTTTCAAATGCTTCCTTGGCATCACGAATTGATAAGGCGTCAGAACTTTTAAATTGGTTAATTACCCCTTTTATTTCCATGAAATGTTTTCTGTAAAAAGAAGCACTTTTGATTCAAGTACCCCATCGCATAATAACAGGTTCTAGTGGAAGTGGTAAAGTTGGCAATTGTTCTCTGTACGTTTGTATTTGCGATAGTGCTTTAATGAATACTTTTTTTCACGGCAGAAATAAGTTTGTTCATATCCAAAAACTCGTTTCGAATTTCTTCAACAAAGCGGGGAACAGTATGAGCAAAGCAAGTTACGTGAATCAAGTTTGGGTAGAAAATTTTGAGGGCTACTCCCAGCTTTTGTCATATATGGAGTTGCATCAGAAATAAAAACACAGACTCTCTCAGCGATAGAAGTATCGAAAAAAAAATACGGTAATACTATCGTTTATAAATCGAGCTATAATTGAATGATTGACTCTTTCAAGTGCTTTAGAAGCAATGAGATATGCGAGAGAAGGTTCTAGGAACAATTTTCCAATAAATAAATTCGCAATGTAACGCCTACACGAATCTGTAGTCTCATCTACCGAAATCCAAAGTAGGTTTTTTTTCAATATCACTTTTAATTTTTTCAAAGACATTTCTATAAACGTCTACAATGTAATTTTTTCGTAAAATGGATTCGTCTGGTATGTTTGATTTGTGCAATATTTTTTCAGAAAACTTCGGAATTTCAGATTACTTAGTTTTTTCAAAGGAATGTTACTCGCTATTAATGCTTCGCATAAATCATTGCTGAAATTATCCTTGCATGTTATACTGTTAGTACGAGACTGTGTTATAAGCGTCTGGCTACCAGAAGTATGAGTTGTCTTACTTTTCTTTTCGGAGGCTGCTATATGAGTTGCTGTACGTATATGCTGGACATTTTGAAACTTCTTTGAACATGGGACTTCTTTTTCACTTATCTGGCAGTACACAACCATTCCGTCAGTAGTAAACGTGTCTGGATATTCATTTATCCAAACATGAATACGTATATTTTTAATAGGAGGCATCTTATTAAATAAATTAATATTTTAACATGTAAGTTTTGGTGGATCACAAAAATGAGACTGAAAAGCGTATGCAAAAAGAAATATGAATTTATTTTATTTGAACATGGCTCGTGCAAACGATTAAACAATATCTTATCGAAAACTCAATATAGTATTTATATTTAACGACGGCAGTAAAAACTCATCCGTCAATTAGTTTGGTTATTATGTGCTATATATCTACATAGTATTTGTCTAAAGACATTTAATCAGTGTGTTTCTTGTATAAAAATACGATTATATGCTATTTACATCACGAATCAATGAAATATGTATCTTTAGAAAAAAAAGGCGATTATATGCAATTGCATGTGCAGTTATGCAAATGCATATAATCCGCGGTATAATCATAATACTAACCCCCAGCCCAAATAAATTGTATATCAGTGTTTTAGAATTTTGACCATCGCGTGGTAAAATAATAAAAAAAATACGAATCTTTTCCGTTATACGTATACATCACTATTTAAATCGATTTTTTTTTTTTTATTACGTGATCCCAGTAACATTCAATTGGCTGCATATAGTACCCCTTTTTTGTTCTCTATACTCGTATTCTATAGGATTTCCTAAGAACAAAAGATAAAATTGGTGGTTATTGTGGTCGCGATAAGCTTAGCCGATACTATCGATCGTAATTCGTATTTCTATTTCATAAATTAATCATCAATCATCGAAGTAGCAAAGATTGTAAACTTACATAATTATTACTTATTAGGTACTAGGTTGGGTTTATGAATTATACAAATTTCAAATACTCAGTAGAAATTCAATCATTCCATAAAGATAATTATATTTTTGTAAGCTGCTCATATTCATAAAATCAACTGCCATTTTGATTTTTCCTACCACCCATTTTGGGTCATACTGCCCGTTAGAATAAGACCTGGTAAGGAGGAACCGGAGATTTGACCCCTAGTATAAAATTTTTCAAATCGTCGAAAGCGTACATTTTTTATTTTTCTTCATGGGCTCGTAGACAACACATTTTATTTAAATGGAAAAAAAAGTCTTACAGCCAAAATGTATCTATATGATTATCAATGACACATTTAATACATACGCGCCCCGGGGAAAACTATTTTTCCGCCCTTACCTCTTACCAAAAAAAAAAAAAAAAATATATATAAATAAATTTATAAATTTCAATTAAGAAATAAAAAAAATTTGTTTTTATCAGTTGTTTTGCGATATTGTATTAGATAATTTTATAGTAATACCATTGATTTTATAATATATATTTTATATTATAAAATCATTGGTAATACATATCCTAACGTTAACCTAATTTTTTTTTTCAGTGAATATTCCTTTCTTAAAATATATATATATATATATATATATATATATATATATTAAATATAGAAAATGGAATTTATACTTATTATATGCACAATGATTAACAATACATGGTTTTTTATTAGATTAAATATATTATATTTATTATTAATTATATATAATAAAATAATCGATAACTTATAATTTTTTTCTTGACTTTTGAGAAGAAAAATGTTCAATAATATCATTAAAATTAATAGTTTTCGTTAAATCAGCTTCAACGTTGAGGGTTGTTAATTAATTAAGACGATTTTCTCTCGTTGTTGATCTTAAATAAGTTTTGACCCTTTTTAATGTAGAAAATGATTTTTCCGTTGAACAATTACTTGAAGGTGTACATACATAGTAGCATCCTTAGAGCAATATCAATATAAGGATATACTTCACCTAAACTATTCTCTTTTATAAATGCTAACATATATTGAACACTTTTAGGTACAATTTTACTCCTTTTGTAAACTTTTTAAATGTGCACTAAAGTGAATACCGCATTCTGTGTACCCGAGTCTTTATTATAAACATTGAACAAAAATATAATATCTTATTGAATAATAAATGTAATATACCTCTTTTGCTATTTCACTATTACCTAGGTGACTAGGTATAGTATAATTTTTTTAATTTCTTATTAGATGCTCAATAATATTTTTTTGAGTACTAAACAATACTGAAAAAGGTGTGAAAATTAAAAAAAATCATAAACACATCAATAATAAAAGTTAGAATATTTTGCCGCCCGGGGCATTTGCCCCTTTCGTCCCCCCCCTTAAATGCGCTACTGATGATAATACTAAAAATGTAAATATTTCCGAATTTGCTTTACGAATTGTAATACGGACAGCAACAAATTGTATAAATTGATAATGTTCGATACCATAACACCAAGCACGGTTCGTGCGAACAGATTTATTTTTAAACTCCGACGAAAGCCGATGAACGATGATGGATACGACGCCCTCGCGAAACATCGTCACGCGCCGTAATAAATTAATAACAATAACAACGATAATATCGACGGTCAAAAAGCCAATTGTCGTAACCATTGTTTTGGTCGGAAAAGGGACTGTAACGAAGTATTAAATTTCATATAATTTTCTTGTGCTCATCCAATTTTCGTAACCTATTATGCTTTTGTGGGTTACGACACCTGACTTTTGACCATCGATATTTTAAACTGATTTTAGTTTTATAGAAATATCTAAGTTATTTAAAAGATACATAAACCAAGTAATCAAAACAGCAGCTAATTTATCAGTTAAATAAAATAAAGATTTAAAATTTTGACTGAAAAAAATTGTTAATTTTAAAAATCACACACTAGGTATTTTACCTGGTCTTATCAATCAATCAAATCAAATTTGAATTTATTTAATAAATGATGCATTTTTTTATATTTCTAGGGCATTTAAATCCGAGCCCTAGTAATGATTATAATGATAATTGTTTGAGTAATAAATAAAATCGCCATTATAAAGTAATACATATAAATAACCAATTAGTTGATTCGGCGGGAAAAGGCGTTCACTGAAATATGTCACTAGGTCTATAGGAATTTGTAGCTCTACGAAATTTTATAAAAAAAGAGGAAACACAAACAATCTTATAAAACCACTAAAAATAAAAATAAACACATTGATTATGTTTCAGTCCTATTACC